TTCTATACATCTTTTTTCCTCTACTTTCAAATATTATTGTTAAAAATTTCGTAACTTTACTTGCTTTTGAGATACCAGTGGCACACCTTTTTACTCGCGGACCTTTAATCCTATATAATTTTTACAATATCGTCAAAGAATATCGAAAGAATATTCTATTTAAGGAAGGTTGGTGCAACATTACATGCGAGTATGCAAAAAGTTTGATACGGCTGAGGGGAGTGCACCACAAGAAATAATTATATAAGAGGAATCACTCGGCATCCGTACAAAACGTACGAGGTACGTATTCCGCGAATACAAAAACATCGGCCGTTGTACATGCGTGGTGAACAATCGCATAATCTCGATAAAAAAAAATAATAATTCGATTTTAATAAGAAAATACAGCGAAAAAAAATTAAATATATCCTTCAATTTATTTAAAGTAAAATATTATTTAATTTAACTATTCTATAATTTATTTGGCTTTATAATTAAATCACACATTAAATTAATTTCTAATAGATCTTCACTCTCAGAGATTTAAAATATTTTAGTGTGCTTCTTTAATATATATATTAGCAAAGTTAGTTAGTTTTTATTAAAGGCAAGTCCATCCGTTTCAAGGATAGGGGAAAAGTGCAAATATGCAGCAAAGGAGTTCGATTTGAATGATTCAAAAAATATTTGAATTGTATTGATGGAATGAAGATTCGTTTAAATTATTAGGAAGGCAAGACCAGCAATTTCGGCGATCCAAAAAAAAATGCTATTTGGCGGTCAAAAATGATCATGAGACATATGCACATCAAATTATCAGTGATTTTAAATATTTTAATAATAGCATAAATTTTGTTTCTTTTTATTTGGGTTTCGTACCAAGATTAATAATGTTCAAAGTTCACCTATATAGTTCCAACAAATGTCCTGACAAATGATATTAATTTTTTTTTTTTTTTTTTTTTTATTTATTATTCATAGCAAGCTATACAAAGTACATTCAGCTACATTTGTTACAGTTATATATTAATTGACGGCGTGAGAAGGATCGCTATCCTGTGATAGCGCCTTCATAGATGTTAAGTTATGATATGATATGAATAATGATATTAATGACAGTTAATTTGATTTGTCAAATTGTCATTGTCATTTTTTCTGAATTTTGGAAATTTTTGTAAATTTTAATTTGTTTTTAATATTTTCTAATTTTTTAAAGAAAAAGACAAGCATGTACAGCACATGATAAAGTAAAAATTTAGAAGCGTATAATTTCTATAAAATAAAAAATTCGATAAAAAATTATACAAAAAAATGTTGTAATAATTTTTAAACTTATTAATCTAAAGTAAAAATATAAAATGCTTAGAAATTTTCACTTGGCCCTCCACATTTCACGATCGGCCGATATCGGGCGCACGGTTGTACGCACTATAACTCAAAAATGATTTACGTGCAACCTCGCGATCGGACACTGGCGTTCCGTAAGAAAGCTGAGAAAAGATGCGCACAAATATTAACTTGATAAAGAAAAACATTCATCACTTTTTTCACATTATTATGTAAAAAAAAATACTATGAAAACATTCCATATTTTAAAATATTTTGTATGATTAAAATATTTATGATCAAAAACTATTTTGCATAATCAATGATATAAATAAAATTATTTTATTGTTATTATCGTAAGTTTGGACGCTTTGGACAACCTGACTTCTTGCACCAGCGATGTCTATTATATAGATCAAAATTATGTTTACAATTTAAAAATAACGCATTTTGGGCACTGCGATGTGAAATGGCAATGGGGAATCACCATATTTTTCTCTTAATCGTGTTGAAGTTTAACTCAGCTCACGGACCTGCTCTAGGGCAGTATTACTCGTTATTATTATATTATAAGATTGCTACATTTACCGTCGGATAGTTCTTTCTAAAAATGCATAATTAAGTTTTGCTACTTTTCTATAGTAAATTATAAATAAAAATAAATTAATATTTTTTGATTTTACTTTATTAGAAGTTTATTTGATTATAATATCATATTAAATTAAATAAATACTCAGTTTCCAGACAAAAATAATATTAAATTTTTAAACATTTTAATTAATTAAAATTTCAGAATTCTAAAATAGTGACAATTTATAAACAAATTGTATATTTAATTAAAATCCTAATGCAGATCTTGATTTGCACCGATAGTGTCAATATTAAGGAAAATATAGCATTCTATATAAGTTAGATTCGCAAATTATCGAATATTTTATGCACTGACCACCATAATTCGAAGATGGATTTGGCACACAAAATTTTATTCGAGAAAAAAATGAACAAAAATAATTTTCACCTCTGCATCAAATTGTTGTGTGAAATATATGTGAAATAATACGTAAAACGAATCAACCGCGGAAATAACTAAAATGTTTGGCCCGTTTCGCCGTCAAACTCATTGTAGACATCTCAAAACCGCGAGTTACTAAATGATTCATGCTTTTTATATATAGTAGCAAATATGAATATAAATAGAAGTCGCACGGACAAGTGGCTCATTAGTAGTTTTTCTTGTGGGTTGCGAATTTCGCCCACTGACACAATTTTTTTCATCGACAAGGTAACGTGTCGGCCTTTGTTATCGATCTGAGGTAGTTTAAATCAAAAGGTTAATTGTGGTCTAAAAAATTTGTTAGTGCGTATCGCGTGAAGTACAAAGTTTGGAACTAGGTCAGAACATTTTCGGTGATTTTGTATAAACAAACCATCGATCAGCTGTACTAGTTACTGACGATGACTATCTAACCTCGAACACCATGCCGAAAAGGGCGGTCGCATCAGGTAGAAAAAGTTCGAAATTGGTTTGGTATGGGAATGTTGCAAATGTATGTGTTTTAAATAAGGAAGGCTCACGGACACAGACAACCCTCCGATTTGTGATGTGCGTTCACCATAGTTCGGTGAGGTGAATTTTAATGGCTTTTTGATTGGATTCCTGCAATCGCGCACGATCAGGGTTGGGTAAACATATTGGATACATATTATATAAAACACTTATGTATAATTATTAAGTCAACTCTTGGTCATAATTATTATTGTATAAATTGATTGAACGTATTGCAAATAGCAAACCATATCACGTCTAGTATAAATTGAAGCTAATTTAATCGAGTATGTGCTACAAAACATTTTCAATTAACTAAAGTTGTAAATAAATTTATTCACGCTGTAATAAACAAGAAGTTATATTTTTGAATTAGAGGTGCTGAAAGTATTAGTAACGTAACTATAAATCTATATTTAATTAGTTCAACATAAATGCTATATTATATTTTCTAAAATGATTGATCAGATAAATTTAAACGTAAAATAATAAAAATGGAGCCGGAAAATGGTCATAGGAATTAATTTTTGTATCACTTAAATTCATGACGAGTATATTCGTCAAGCACAGAGTGAGTTGCTTAAGTTAGATATCGTATAAAAAAGATAGTTTAATTTTACAAAATTATTGATTTAGCGTGGTTTATTTTACTTTTTTTAACCTATATTACATACGTATTAAACTAAAAACAGTTGAACTTCAATAAAATATCATATAGGTAAATGTAAGTAATAAGAATAGTTTTTTCTGAAAAGAACAAAAACTATTTTTAAAATAAACAGTAGAATTTTTTTAAAATTAAATTCAATCTTAATTCTTCTTTATTAAGTATATTTTCTGCACATTTTGGGAAGTTTATGCAACTTGCTTTAAGATAAAATGCTACTCACAACTACTTATTTTATACAGTTACAGTCTCAAAATATGAAAAACTTGACATTTCACAAATTATTTCGCTTTTTTTCAAATTTTTTTTTTTGAATCACTGTTTAAAACGCATGAAAAATACTTGTCACTTATCCATGACGTCTATATTCGTCAATCACAATAACTGGTTAATCTTCCAAAAATTTTAATAAGGCTTTAAGTTATTGCAATTTGGTTTTAATCTGTTTTCCAAATTATTAAAATAATTAAAAACTAAAAATCCTGAACTTTTGAAAAAATGTCTATTTTGTTTGAAGCAACCCATCCCTACAAAGCACGAAGCGCCGAGTATGGTTCAGTTCTCGGCTAAAAGCTTCATGGTGTTAGTATAATATTACTGGCATATGAAATCGTCTATGCAAATGTATTAATAGCGACAGAATTGAATGTGGATAGTACGAACCGTGGGATCACGCCAAAAATAATATTTCTAAGTTAATTAAGAGATGACCAGTACATTTTTTCAATTCCCGTCGTGTTAATTTTATTTGAATAATTTATTATGACGCGTGAAGGCCGTTAAAGAGTCTGCAAAGAAATCGTAACTCAAACGAAACGTTATTTATCTTTGAACAAACTCACATAATTGAATAATTTGATTTCATTATGATGAAACTGGTTTATTTAAAAAAAATCATTATAAAGTATAATTTGTAACATTGAATGAAATGAAAATTGCGTTTTTGGGATTGATGATTAAAGAATTATTACCATTAAATATTTGAACTTTGCATGAGCTGCTTTTAGTATTACAGTAATTATGTTTCTATGAATGTTTACACACTATGTACTGAAATAGTACATTATAAAATATTCTTTATGAAGAAAATTTTTCAGATGAATAAGGATGATGTTAACATACGTAATAACAAATAATGCCATGTAAATACACATAACAATAGAGTTACATGTGTCAAAGATAAGCGTCGTAAAAACGATATAATTTGAACTTACACCGACTGAATACATTAGTATAATATATATTAGGTGCATATTATGCATTTCATTTCCTTTTTGCTTTTGTTTCTATATATAGAATCACTAATGTGTAACGTAACAAACTGTTTGAAAACACGTCACTTGGCACATTGTAATGCAAGAATTTTTAACATTAACGTAATTCGTTTGAATCTTATCATATTTTTAGTGATCATGATTATTTTATTGAAACCCACTTTAGGTAATATGATAATTTTCTGATATTAATGAATTAATTTATCTAAGAACATCTAAAGAATTTTCTAGTGATTTTCATGAATTGGTATTGCGTTAGTCTAAGACACCCGGGCCGACGAACTCCGTCGGAAAATTTATTTATATTTTCTGGCATGCTGTGTTACATTTTAATTTGACAGATAGGATGCGATGCGTGTGTCGATCACATACAGAGCACCATCTATCTGCCTCATTCCAAAACTATAACACGTAACGCGTGCGATTCAAAGACGGTGTCGAGACATTATGAATCCAACAACCGGCGTCAGTGCGAATGAGACGGTTCGTACGTGATAAAATCTAAATTCACGAAAATTGCATTAAAAAACAAGGATTTTAAATCTTCTCAAGTACACTTTGGCACCTCAACACATGCAAGAAACTAAAAACGAGATGTCATAAAATACAAGTTGCACCTAGGCCGGCAAGCTAGGGGATTCCGTTCCAGTTTATGATTTACCGTGGTCGGAGGGTTTTATTGGCACTTGTCGTTCGCACTGTACGTTTGGCCTCCCGGGGTATACGGATCTATACACAGTAGTGTTACGACACCTAATAAACTACTAATGATGAGGGATCCCGATTATTTACGCGATCGGTTTCAGAATTAGACACAACGCAAGAAGCACGTGCAACGTGTTCAAAACATGATCTAAACACTTATGGGATTCTCTATGGGAATCATATGGGAATCGTATTGGCGTGCGATATGTCAAACTTGTTCATTGCACCGTGGACAGGGCCTAGATTTGGTAAATATTTATCCACATGTCCCGGTGCAATAGGATGTTTAGTGACGCAATGTGAAGATTACTGACCTGCGATGGCCATCCACGGATAGAATGTGTGATTAGGTTGCTGATGGAGTTGTGTGGCTGCAGGTTGTGGCGCCGCTGCTCCCAGCGAGCACGTGCTGTTCCACGAGGAAGCGCGCGCGGGGCCTGGACTGGACGAAGCAGCATCTAGAGATGGTACTGGACCGCCGTATCCAACGCGGGAGTCCGGCGTACAAGCTGCGGGCCGTACAGGGCCAGACACGACACCTTGTTGTTGTTGTGCTTGCGCTTGCCATGCGTCTTTGGCTGCAGCTACCACGGCTGCATAGCCGTTCTGATGACTATCGCCTCCACCGCCGCCTGCTTTAGAACAATCTGGTTTACCATAACCTCCAGTCTGCTGGCTCGACTCTGAACCTCCGGTAGAATATAACTTGCAGGCAGCAGCTACTGATGCATCGTAAGGCGAATCCTGTGGCGGTCGAGCGCTCTGGTGAAGTCCGTGATGGTGGTTGGCGGCTGCCGCATACGGCGACATACCGAGACTAAGTGGAAAGGAACGGTAAGCTGCGGCAGTCTGGTCATGATGGCTTGCACCGCCTCCAACGCCAACACCAACCCCGGCACTTTGATGGTGATGTGATCCGTAGAAACCGCTTTGTTCAAAGTACGAATTCATCTTGGAATTGTTTTGTAATTTTTTAGAATCTGAAGGAATTTATTTCTATTGAAACTTTGCACTTTTCACTAAACGTCTCGGCTTGAGTCCAAGATTTTATTTAATCTCTGGCACACTCAACACACAATTGTTAGTCTCCTTCAATGGCTAGAAGTTGTCCTAGATATTGGTAGTTTATTGTATTTTTTACGTTATGCACAATCCACAAATATAACAACCACTTTGATTTTTTTGACAATTTTAAGATTAATTTTGCCTAGTACTGAAATGCTTGTGCACTAATTGCCATCATCAATGACGACATTTTAAAAAAGTTGGTAAAAACTGCACACATTTTTTTATGATACACATAACATAATAGCGAGCTTCCTATGTCAACTCGATTCAATGTCAAACTTTTGCGAAAAACGCCAAAGCACGCGCGACCCGATCACTTATAACAGAGATCAACGATTTTTTTTTTTAAATAAAAAACACAATATTTTTCAAAAAAATTATTGTAAACGATCAATCTATTGAAAATGAAGAAATAATTGTAAACGCGATTTTATCGCCAAAAATTTTAAGGGTGCCGTAATAATAATTTGATTTTATTACAACCGTGCGTTTTTATTGTTGTTGCCTCGATCGCAGTTGCGTCGTTAATGATATCAGTCCGGCGTGTATAGGAAGAAACGCGCCCGTCGTGTTTGGAGCGCTACTGGCTACTGAAACGTTCGCCCGTACTGTGTTGTTTCGCTGGATACGGCACGGCGCTACGGTGGTGTTCGCGACGCGATACTGTGGGATTTGTGTTAGTACATCAGAATCGTAGCGCGAGCGAACATACACACTATGACGTATCACACGAACTAAAAAGCCCGTCGCACGATCTGACGATGGAAAGAGACCGAAGACTATATACATACAACTGCACAAGCGTTGCGGCCCACGCCGTATAACATCTCGCTCGTTTTAAATGTTACAGCATCCCGCGTGCCGCTCTCACTTACTCCTCTGGACCAGTGAGCGCACACGCTGCCTACGCTGAGGGACGGAATGATAATTAGAATTTTGTTAAAATCCATTTTTTTCTAATAAATTAAAGTAGTGGTGCATGGCGTCTTATCTTATGGCAAATTGCTGCAAACTTTCCGTACCGAAAAATAAAAAATTAAAAAAAACTTTAAAATTTTTTGAAAATGCGATTTTTGAGCAATCGTGCTGCGTGGCTCTTGTAGAAACGAAATATCGAAACGCGTAAGCGCCGTGTCGCAGTCTAACAGATGAACATTGGTACAACTCATAGAAATGTAAACAAAATTTGTACTTATTAATAAATTCTCTATAAAATATGTGATAATTTGATGTGCATATGTCTAATGATCAATTTTGACCGCCAAATGACATTTTTTTTACATTTTTATTGGATCTACCGCTGGACCTGCCTTCCTAAAAATTTAATCAGTACTTTGTTTCGTTAATACGAATAAAATGCTTTTTGAATCATTCAAATCGGACGCTCCGTTCTTTTAAAAACTGAAATATTATTTTTGGAACCTTTTGCCCCGCATCATTTAAAAGGCTAGATCTGACTTCGCCAAAAACTAATTAGCACGTCTACCTGTTGATATAAATCAAATGTAATTTAAATTATCCAAATCGGTTGACCCGTATTCCCGAAAACTAAACTTGATAGTATGATGAGCGGTTGTAGAATATATCCGACGTCATACCAAGAGGATTCTGCTGTATATCCAAATATATTTAGTACAAGTAACTTGCTCTAATTTTCAATATATAATCGCTAATTTTCTTTTATATATGGATAACTATTCTGTCATTTAATTACAGGTGCAGACACCATTACACAGTCTGGCAATATAAATGCAGTTGGATTCTTGTTAATGCTTTTGAATCATTCAAATCGGACGCTCCGTTCTTTTAAAAACTGAAATATTATTTTTGGAACCTTTTGCCCCGCATCATTTAAAAGGCTAGATCTGACTTCGCCAAAAAACTAATTAGCACGTCTACCTGTTGATATAAATCAAATGTAATTTAAATTATCCAAATCGGTTGACCCGTATTCCCAAAAACTAAACTTGGTAGTATGATGAGTGGTTGTAGAATATATCCGACGTCATACCAAGAGGATTCTGCTGTATATCCAAATATATTTAGTACAAGTAACTTGCTCTAATTTTCAATATATTAATCGCTAATTTTCTTTTATATGGATAACTATTCTGTTCATTTAATTACAGGTGCAGACACGATCATTACACAGTCTGGCAATATAAATGCAGTTGGATTCTTGTTAAATGATCATCAAACATCATAGATCATTAAAAAGAGTTGCGCTTATTATCCGTAACGACAAAGCGTGTTAAGTGGAATCGCATTGTGTGCACAACGAGCGCGAAGGATTTTGCCATCACTGCAGCTGTACGAGCAATAACGCAGATCGTTTCAAAATACATTCATCCCATTCACTCTAACATGAAGTTCAGCGGCAACGGCCAATCCAGCCATCTTGAAATGTAACTGCCATTAAAATCGTTAAGCAGTGGGGATACTGCCTGCCAATAGCCGCGCCGCTGAGGAGCCCGCGTGTAGCTACGCTCTTCGCAGCGAGCGCGTCGACTGACGTCGTAGAGCGCGCTACGGAATCGTTGCCAGAATGATGTAGGACAACACATGACGTACTAATGGATAGGAAAACAATTCGGATTGAAATTTAATAATAAATATAAATTTTAAATATAAAAATTTTCATAAAATTTTAACTCAATGATTGTTAAATTTTCTTTTAAATTTTATTCTCTTAGTCCATTATGAGTAGTTTCTATTATTTTTGATCTCGCTAATTCTGCCAGCCAAGATAGATGCTGAAAGATTCGTCTTACCGATTCGTAGTGATTAATTTGATTGGGTGTCGTTCGCTGTGACTTTTACGAGTATTTTACGAGGCCCGTGTCTCGTGCGGCGTGCGGCGCGCGACTTCACAGTCGTCAGTTGAAGTTTTATGGGGTGTTTTAGTGCCCATAAACGCCCATATCACTTGAAATAAGTACACATTATTATGACTCCATTATGTAAACACACTTGGAACATAATTTATATCCATATAGGTGCTATCCCCGCTGCTCAACGCCAGCGCTTTCGGACGCGAATGCTCATAAGTCGGACCATTTATGAGTATGCAGCAGTAAAACGTTTTATTTGTATTGCTGTTTTGTGGTGGTAAAATGTAGACTGTAGAAGTAGTAGTTTTTTTTTCAACAGGATAGAATCTCGCCGACTGTTTATTTTATTCCAAGTCGTAGTGGCTATAAACACAGTCATAAATGTGTTTTTATGACCAATTCAGATAGCACTAAATGTCGAGATTTAGTGTGTGAAATTAGCGTTTTGTATTGAGCTGTCAAACGATCACCGCGTGCTTTTCAAAGGATCTTTTTTATATTTTTGTCAGGAGCTTGATGGTTATTTTTATAGACCAGAGTTTTATTATGTTTGACAAAATAAATTAACTTTTATACCTTGATGTCTATAAACACTTATTTGATATTTTGATGTTTAGCATGGCTTTGATTGTTATGGCATTATGATGGCCATAAAAAACAAATGAAGAAAAATATTTAATTTTTATCACTTGATATCTTGTCAACATGGTATAAACATAGGAATCAATTCTATGTGATCATAATTTTAACACGTTCGCGAACAGAAACAGTTTCAGGTAAAAAAAAGTAGTAATTTTATTTTTAAATTGGTTGTGATAACCGATATTAAATTAAACGCCGTTCATAAGGGTAGTCAGATTATTTTAATCGTTCTATACGATGAATGCCATAGCATCCACGTCTAGTACCTATTACGCTTCTATTTAACGAAATATGCTTGTCGAAGCTAATTAGTGACTACATTAAAAAATAAGATAATACGGATAACACAAAAATGTAAAGTTGTATAAAATTAAATTCAAAGTAATTGACCTTAAAATTTGAATGCTATCATATTTCTCTGCATCGCAATGAAAATGAATGCTATAGCATTCACGCCCGCGAACGTGTTAGCATACTAATGAAGTAATTTAATTTTCGAAAAATTAATAAACACAAACATGTCAATAATTACCTACTATTGAAATAATTTATAGTAGAAATAATCGATGATTGGGCAAGTTTTATTTGTGCTTAAATTTTTTAATTATGAATGCATTAAATTTAGTATTTTTATAATATGAATTAAACAGAATCAAGAAAGTGATTCCTAAGCATCCATTTATAATTACAGGGGAGAACTCGGCCACGTCGGCATGACGACCTCAAAGTACGTGCTTGTGACCGACACCTCCGTGTAAAAGGATCTTCTTCCCTAACGTTGTTTAGTCGTAATGTGAGAATATTCCAGAGGATAGAAACCTGTGGTCCAAGTGATAAAACCTAGTCCCTATGTTCTGTACGAAGTGCGAAATCGCCTCGTTTACTGGCCTAATGAGTCACTTATGCGAGACTCGGACCATGTAAACTGCAAGTAAATAGACAACGAAGCTCGGAATACTCTTGAATTAACCCACAAGAATGAAACTGCCCACTTGGCTATCCTTCCTTGAGAAGAAAACGACCTTATCTAATATTATTAATCACAATAAATTTATGCAGTCACATAGGATTTTTGACCATTTTATCGCCAAGGATTTAATAATAATAATTAAGTAAAGACTCATTTCAATTTGTTTGATTTTATTGAATGCTTATATTTGTATGAATATTTTGCATTTAACAGATGAAAGTTTAATTATTTGAATTAATATAAAAATGATCTGTCCCTGATGACATTTGTCAAAAAATTAAACAAGTTGTAACTGTGTAACACAAATAATTGTAAGAATTCTAAAATTTATTTGCAGACAATTTTAAATACTAGATTTTTACCATTGATTACGATTTTTTTTACTTTAATCGAGCCACAAATTAAAAAAATTTTTTTTTGGTTAAATTTAAAACAGAACC